TTCAGGTTCTGTTCTCTAAAATTAAGGTAATAAACTTGTGTTGTTTTAAACCACCAAGTTTGTGGCAATTTGTTATAGCAGTAATAAGAAACCACAACATTTGTATTGCTGATTTGGGGAGTGGAAGGTGGTGGTGATGGCAGAGAGTTTATTTTAAACTTCAGGATCCATTATGGCAGAAACCATGCCCATCTTTTTCGTCCCTGAATATGCAGCACCTATCATTGTGCTCAGGTCTCAGTAGATGTTCAACAAATAAAAAAATATTTGCTAAGTGAACCAGGGCATTCACAAATGAATTCAGGAATGAAAGGAAAAATGAGATGTGTGAGCTGAGACCTGGAGGAGAATTTGAAGTTAAATAGGTAAGAAGGTGGTGGAGATGAATCTGGAAAATTATAATACTAAGAGAGACGTTGACAGAGTGCCTCTTGGTAATAGTGTAACGTGATTAAAGTATTTTGGGACACAACTCACTAAACATGGTAGTGGAAAATTTCTCCTCATTTGAGCAACTTTTGTTTTCATTCAGAGAAATATGATGACTTCCATCTTATTATTTACATAGTTTGTTTTATATATTTTAATTATTCAATTATGTGCTCAACTATAAATCTTCCTCTTCTGTAAAGATTGTTGGAAAAGGGGTATTTTTTTGTCCTCTTCCCTTTTTCTCACTCCCTTGCTTAGCCAATATCTTCCTTTGCTTTAGTTACTTCCAGATCTGTTCGGTACTCCCCAAAACCCACTGGATGTCTCCTGGATGACCTCCCAGTATCAAATTCACTGTCCTCCAAATTAAACGTGTCTTCCCTTTTAGCTACCCTCCTGGATTCCTGATTATCCCAGTTTGAGAGTTTCAAAGCTTCAAAATTATCACTTATATTTCCCTTTCCCTTCCCCCAACACCCAAAGAGTGCTCAATAAATGATGAAATCTTTTTGAAGTCCATTCTCTTTCTCCATTTTTATAGCCCTGTGACCAAAGCAGAGGAAGATGGCACTATCACCTCCTTTTATCTGGATTAAAACCACCCAACCTTTCTTGCTTGTGTTCCTGTGGACTGCATTTAGATCAATACTCTTGAATTGCCAGCTTTAAGCACCCTTTCCTATATGCATGCTTGCCTTCAACAAGGACTCTAATTCTGCCACTGGCCCTAACTGCATTATCCAGAGTAGGTTAGTTATCCCCTATAGGCCTCAACTTCTTCAACAGTAAAATGAAGAGTATATTATTATCTATTGGAAAACAAAAGTATAGTATTTACCTATTTTAGAATTGCCAAAAAGAACATCTGTTGAAAACTATAAAGTGCTACATAAATATCATCATTGTAATTTTTATTCACTGATCAAGTGTTCATTGGTCAATAAAAGATAATGTAGTGGAAATTAAAAATTCATTCTTTGTCTTAAAAATATAATTAGGAAAAAATATGCATAAATAAAAGAATTCTATAACCACACAAAATGATAAGTGATTGAGTGAAGCATGAGGCAGACTGTTTTACTATTACTATGATCTCCATTTTATACTGAAGATACTGAAATTAAGGCTGCTCTTGACTGTATATATACATGAATAGGTCTCATTGACTAATATTTGTACTTAAAAGGATTGCCAAGAATTGTGGCCCTTCAATTTACTTTACTCTGTTAAATCTCAAAGAAAGTGTAAGATTTGGAATGGCAAAGAAGAGAGATAGTGCTATTCAGGAAAATCCAAATAAAGAGTCAGAGATAGAAATGATTATATTAGATAATATAATTAACTGATTTATCTAACATGATGAAGAACTTGTGTAATGTGTAGTAAAAGGAAAAGCATTTTGAGAAGATAAAGAAGGGTTTTAGGTGCCATGCCGAAGAGTGGGCAGTTGATCCCCAGAAAAATAACTTTATCAATTTTTAATCATAAGATAAATTTTAAAGTAAAGGTGGTTTAAAACTAATCTGTCATTATATCACAAAATAGAATAAAGCTGGAATTACATTTCAGCTTATGTATCAATGCCAATCACTTGCAGTGGCTTCTCACAGCCTCTTGTTTAGAAGATTCTCAGGCTACTTTGCTTCATAGGAGGAAGTGCCTTGATCTATTAGTTCTGTCTGATGCAAGCTCAGGAAACTAGATATTTTTTAACCATGAAATAAAACCAAGAATATCTCCTAGCAGGAAAATCTTTTTTTTTTTTTGAAAATCATACTAATTCACTTTGAAAATGGTTAAGGACAGACTCAAAGTCACATCAGTGAAAAAGTAAAAGTAATAAAACCAAGAATTATAGGTAATTAAATTGTAATTGTAATTAAGTTGAGAAAGGAAATCAAGAACAAGAACAGTAAATGTAACCTTAGCATTTAAAGCACGGAGAGGTGAGAGCAGAATGGTGTTCCTGAACAAGAGAGATGTGGGAGAACCCAGGATATTTCAGAGTGTCAGCAGAGGGGAGAAAAGAAGAATGACAGAAGAAATATTCTGGTCAACCAATCTGACTACTATAAAAAGGCCACTGGGTGCCAAAGGTTTCACAAGAATACTGCAAAGGTGACCATGCCCATCAGCAAACAGTTCTTGTGTAAAGTGGGCTTGGTCTACTGATGCAGAAGTGAAAACACCTTTTAAAAAAGTTTTAAGTTCAGCAGTATAACACGACACTCAAGAAAAGATCATTAAATTAGTACTATACCAGTATTATGTAAGCATTCTTTGAGAGCACAAGGCAAGAGAAAGTAAATTTTCTACAAGAAGTCAGAAAAGACTAGAGAAGGTAACGTCTGAGCTGCACTTGTGTTGATGGGGGTTGTGTAATCGATTCATATATTTATACAATACTTATTTTATTCCTTTATTTTATATGTTATATATTTATTTAGATTATATTACATGCAGTAATCATATATATCATCATATATATTTCATCCTCTTATATAAACATTCCACATAATCTTGTATTGTTAATAGATATTTTAGTTCCTTTCAGATTTGGGGAAATTATAAACAAAGCTGCTATGAGCAGTTCTATATATGTTTCCAGGTATAAATAATAAGAGATTCATTTTATTATTGGTTTTAGAAGTCCAAAAATTAATATAGCTCAGCCTTTCCTGTTAAGTTTATATAAATAGAATTGGAATTTTATAATATACTTTCTTTTGTCTTCCTTTTTTCCCCCAATTATGTTTATAAGACATCCAACTTTCATTGTTGTATAACTATACCATGCAATAAATATACCAAATAAAAACTCGTGCATAAATATACCACAGTTTGTTTTTTGTTGTTGTTGTTGTTGTTTTTTACCTGTTACTCTTTTTGGACCTGTGAACTGTTTTCAGGTTTGGATAGTTGCACACAATACTGTATGAACATTCTTGTTTGAGCAACTTGCTATACATAAGCTCTTGTTATTTAAGATGTATAACTAGGAGTGGAATTGCTGGCCATAAGATATGTGTGTCTTCAATTTTCTACCATAGTGTCAAACTATTTTCCAAGATGGTTGCAACAATTTACACTCCCACCCGCCTTGTAAGAATGTGCCCTATATTCTCATCAACCCTTGATATTGTCAGACTTTTATTTTTTACCAAGGGTATGTGTGTGTGTGTGTGTGTGTGTGTGTGTAAGTTCACAGTATTATTGTGAATTTATTTTACATTTCCTCAATAATTATTATGAATAATAATAGTGAAGTTAAGCATATTCTACTATATTTATTGGTTAGTTTGAAAAAAAATTTTTTTTTTGAGAAATGCCTATTCATGTGTTTTGCCTACTTTTCTATTGGGTCATCTGCCTTTCTACTCACCAATTTGTTGGGGAGTGCAATTCTTTTCCCATTTTATATGTTACATCTATCTTCATTCACTTGGATTTATCTTTCATGCTTTATTTGGTGCTTTTTGGTAAACAAAAGGTCTTAATGATAATCTAGTGAAGTTTAATAATCATTCTTTATGTTTAATGCCTTACATTTATTATATATATTATTTTATATTCTCTTCTAAATTTATATTTTGTCTACCACTCTTAGGCCTTTGATTCATTTGGTACTGATTTGGAGGTATGGTATGGGACAAAAGTCTAATTTTATTGATTATGGATACATGATTGTCTCATTACGTATATTAGCATGACTATCTTTTTCCCATTGCTCTGCAGTGTCACTTTTGTCACAAATCAAACACCAATGTATGTGAAATTTTTCCTCCTCTGTGCTTTACTCTGTCCTATTGATCTATTCATTTATCTGTGAACAAATATCACCCTTCACTGATTATTAGAGCTTCATAAGACATCTTGATCACTAAGAAAATATATTGTCTCCTTTGTTCATATATTTCAAGAGTCTCGTCTATTCTTGGCCATTTGAGTTTCTATGCAAAATTTAGAATGAGCTTGTCAATTGCCATTAAATTGTCCTATTAATATTTTAATTGTGGTTAAATTCATATCTATAAATAAATTTAAGAACTGACATATTTTTGATATTGAGTATTCTATCAGTGAACATTGTATTACCCTCCATTTATAAATAACATATACTTAAGTGTTTCAGGTATTTTTAATGTCTGTAATAAAGTTCTAGTTTACATCTTTATCCTATGTAGGATTATACATCTTTACTTAAATTTACTTCTAAAAGAGAGTAGGAGGCAAGAGTAGGAGGATAAAGAAGAAGAAGAAAAAGAGAAGAAGGAGAGGAGAAAAGGAAGAAAAGGAGGACGAGGGTGAGGAGAAAGTAGAAGGAGAGAAAAGAGAGACTAGGTAAGAGGAGATTAGTGCAGAAGAGGAAAGGGAGAAGAACAGGAGGAGAAAATAGGAGGTGGGAGGAGTAGAAGTTAAAGAGTGGAGGGAGGAGGAAAATGAGGAGGAGAGGAGTAGGAGGAGGACAGAGGAGGGAGTCAGAGAGGGAGGAGAAGGGGAAAAAGATTTTATTCTCTGGTCTATATTCAAGTCAAAACATTTCAAATATTTTTAACAAGCTAACTTACCATTGCAATTGCCATTGGATAGAGAATTGAGCAATATGTTTTGTTCAGTCTGAAATGACAACAAATATAAAATAAAAATAATATTGTAAAAATTCACCTCTGTCTGTGAAAAAGATATCTCATTCTTTTATCTATAAATAACAAAAACTAGTATCCAATAATTATTTTTCCTAGCCTTTTTTTTAGAACAGTAACTACAACAAACTGAAATAATAAAATGATAGCTCTAAGGATAAATTCTCTTAGTAGATAATTTATGTTATCAAGTCAGACTATCTTCTTTAGAAAATTTTGTGCAAGACTAACTTTGTTTTTATTTTTGAACAGAAATTAAGCATTTGCATGTGTTTGTCATGTAACGTATACAATCAGAAAGTAACCTCATTAACACAGCATTCTCCAAGAGAGAGTCATTAATCATGTATTTTATATTATACAAAAGTTAACTGTTCCTCTGAAGCTCCATGAAAATACCTGAGAAACGTTCCTGATTTAGGCAAATGCTGAAGAATAAAAATGACTCTGTATTCTACAATTAAACTTCTTTAAAATTGATAATAATTGAGGCCCTAAAGATATGTTATGCCATTTATCTCTCAAAAATGTGTTATTATTATTAATGATGATGATGATGATAACAATTGGTATTTCTTGAATACTTACTGTATTTCAAGGACTTTACATTAATTATTTAATCCTCAGAGCAATCCTATGAAGTTACTAATCTCATTTTCTATACAAAAATTGGAAAGTTTCTATCTTCTAAAATCGAAAAGGTTAAATAACTTGCTAAGTCACAAAATCTCATGCCTTTACATTTTGAACTTCATGCTCCAAACCACTAAATTATATTGCTTCTCCCAAGGAATCAGTTTTCATCTCAGAGGCTGACTACAGAATATCTAACTATTTTCCCTTCTTGAAACCCAAGGGTACAGCTTATATATTTTAAGTCTAGTTCTAATAGTTATCAAATAATTCTCTCCAGGTTATTTTATATTCCTAAGTCTCAACCTTCCTTTTTTGTAACATTCAGGTAATGACTAAGTTAGATAGCCCAGTCAAAGAAACGAGCTCTTGAAAAAAATCCAACAAATGTGAGTTTTTCCCCCCTCTTCTTAACAGTACTCTGTCTGAAATATTTCACGCTGAAAAATTTCAAATAATATATTTAGATACCCCACCCACAAGGAAGTAGAAACTCTTTAAGTATGAGCTGCACTTAGAAACTTGATTCCAAAGAGTACAGTGGAGAAGCCTGACAAACACTATCTCATCCAGGTGATCAAGGTCAATATCAACAGTGATAAATCATGTTGATAGTATGTGCCCTTGATATAACGTAATGAAATGGCACTTTACCTCTATATTTTTCTTCTAAAGCCCAGTATCCCTCATCTTACAGTGAGAAGAACACTAGATAAATTCAATAGAGGAGAATTCTACAAAATATCACACCAGTACATTGACCAAAAATTGTCAATGTCATCAACAAAGGAAAGTCTGAGAAACTGTCATAGCCAAGAGGAACCTAAGAAGACAGGACAACTAGACATAATGTGATATCCTAGATGGAATTTTAGAACAGAAAAAGGACACTAGGTAAAACTAAAGAAATTTAAATAAACATGGACTTTAATGATAATGTATCCATATTGGTTCATTGTTTGTAACAAATATACTAATGCAAGATGTTAATAATGGGTGAAACTCTGTGTGGTGTGGGGTATATTGGAATTCTCTATACTAACTTCTCATTTTTTTTTCCTGTAAATCTAACATTGTTTTAAAAAATAAAGTCTATTGAAAAATATATCTTGTCTGAGGAGAAGAAAATTTGAATAAACAGCAGGTTGAAACTTCACTTACAAAGCAAGTCCACAAAATGGTAATTAATATTATTATTACCTGCAATCTATATAATAATAAGCACAAAGCCATTCAAACACCGGCAGCCTTAAATCCTCCTAAGCATTCGGGGGAAAAAACGTAATGGTGATATCACCACAATATAACAAAATAGAGGATCTTTTGTTGGTTGGTGTTTTCTTCCTGCCCTGGAGTATTTTAAATGCGCTTCTATTGTTACCATCTATTGAAAATGCAGCTGTCAAAGAAAAGGTTGAGGTCCCAGCAGGGCACTCCAGTTCAAAGCAAAACTGTAGACCACCAGGTATAGCCCGATAAAAGGAAGAAACATTGCAGTAGAGATTAATTGATTGCAGACTCATTACTCTAAAACTGAACCTAGAATAAGTGCATAGGCCTAAAACAAGCAGATATTCTAGACAAACAATATGTAACAGGAATAACATGAAATGCCCAAAAGAGCATCCATGCTACTCAAAACCATCCAATCCATACAACTATTTTTAATAAAAGTTTATCCCAGTTTTCCCCATGAGTGAGGTTTCCAGATTGCCATCTGAATTCTTGGTATGCCCTTTAAAATTCACAGTATGCAGATACATACTATATTTGCATTATTCTCATTATAATGGAACTCAGTTTCAACAAATTATTTATCGCCATTTTAAAGTTTGAGTTAAAGAATCCCTTTGGGTGCCATTACCTACCAATAACCTAGATTCAATGAACTCTATTTGATTACAAGACTCAAATTTTTGAAATCTCAAGCAGGTAAAATCATATTTGTAGAACTTCCCCACAAAAGGCTGTGTTAATGAAGTTTATTTCTGATTTGACATGTTACAAAATAAACCCAAGCTAATTTTCAATTTCTGAAAACAAGTTGGAGCAACCTTAGTGTTACAGGAATATATTTTAAGAAAAAACATTATCGACTTTTAGGAAAGAATTAGTTATAAAAATCTTCATGTCAGGTATGCTACTAGATATGATAAGGCCCAAAAAGTAGTATATCATTTTAAGAAGTAAATTTACATTTTGGTAAAATAAGATCACAAACTTCTTGTGGGTTAATTAGTTTATTTAAACTCTAAATAAAATTTCCCACAATATTGTTATGCATGGTGGTCGTGAGCTTAATGTCAACCAAGAGAACCTCTCACATAACAAAATTTAACAGTGTCAGGAGGTACGGCATAGCTTTGTAGGGGAAAAAATATAGGCCTAGTATCCAACTTAAACAAGTAGGAAGATATCTCCTCCTTTGACATGAGAGCAAGTTCTTCTTAATACAAAATCATGGGTAATGGTTTCTAATATTCTGATGAAAATAACATCCTAAAGAGCACAGTGAGGGATAAAGACAGGTCTGGGGATATATAGGCAGGGCCATCTTTATAGACTTGTGACCTACGAAGTCACACAGGCTCCCTATTTAGAAGGGCCTCATAATTGGTTTAATATTCTGTTGTCACCATCTTGAAATTCTTTTTTTTTAATCTTAAAATTCTTAATTGTTGAACAAGGAATGTCACATTTTTGTTTTGCCTTTGCCCAGCAAATTTCAGATCTGATATTGTATCTAGAACCTCTGTGGTATGAGGTAGAAACATTAAACTGTAAGAGAAAGGAATGTAGTATTAGACAGCTACTGAGATACCAGAAATGGGAAGGCCAAAGTTCCCTATGTAACTGAATGATTAAAAGATAGCGTGTGGTCAAGGGTTCAAGAGAAAGGAAAGAGCTTTGTGATCTAAAGCAGTCAAGGAAAGCTTCAAAGAGAGGGTATTACTTACACTAAATCAAACTAAAAATGCTAGTTGGAATTTTATAACATTGAATAGGCCAGGCACTATTATAATTGTTTTGAATATATTAATTCATTACATCATTTCAATTACCAATGAGGAAACTGAAGTAAAAAAGATTCAATAACTTGGTTAATGTCCCACAACTAACCCAGGCAGCTTAACTCCAAAGTCCATGCTCTTAACAAAGCAGAGGGCTTAAGTATTTGAATGATTACAGATAGCTCATTTACCTGAAATCATTTTGATGTACATTTAATTCACTACCCTGTTAATTGAGATAATTTATGGAAATAAAGAATGCTGGTATCGTATAATAATGTTATCATAACGATGGCAACAGTTTATGTTTCTCTGAGTCATTTATCATACTCTATCTCTTTCAGAGTTAGATCTAACTCTTCTTTGATTTAAGTGATTTTTCTTATTTATTTTTCTCAAGGCTATAATACCTAGTACACATGTCCATTAGTATATGCTGAATTAATTAATTAACGAATTAATTAACTAACAAGTGAATGAACAAATAAACAAGTAAGAGTGATTATCTAAGAACTAACTGTAAGAACCAAATAAAAATTATAATACTGTATAAGATTTTGCTGAGGGGAGAGGTCTCTAAACACTTTTATAATGTATTATATTTATGTGATACCCTTTTTAGTATCATCTTATAAGGTTACCTGTAGTATGACATAATCATGAAACAGTTGTCCTACCTTGCTGATATCATCAAGTGGCTGGTTGCTGGAATTTTCTTTTTGGATTATGTTCATTAGATCAGTATAAAACTTCTTTGCGTTCAGAAAAACAAGTGGGTTGTTTATTGAGATAATTGTCACCTGCTGCAGATTCTCCTTTTGGAGGAGAAAGGAATAGATTCAGAGCTCTGAATAAAATAAAAAAGGATAACTCTACCCAAAGAATCTAAATCTTATAAGTCCAAATGTCACTCAATTGTATAAGTAACTTCTTAGTTGATGTTTTAATTATTAAAATTAATTTGGATAACTTAATATACTGCCATGTTTCTTAGGAAAAATATGTACTTCCTCTTTACTGAGAAACATTAATAACCATGATATGAGTCAAGCTTTCAGAATATGGCTCTTATTCCTACATACTGAGTTTTGGCAAGGTAACATTCTAGAATATCCAAAGAATACTGGGTAAGTTTATTCTTCCAAAATTATCCCTTTCATTCAATCTAAAAATTATAAATTTATTTATTTAACCATCAATATTTTTAAAAATGAAAATATGTCCTAAAAGGTCAAACTGTCAGACATTTACTTCATAACAATATAATTTTCTTTTGGAATATAACCTTACAAGTAACTGATAATCTTGACTGGGAGAAATAAAAAACATAGAGGTGGTATTAGAAATGTAATTTTGCTTTGGACAGGACCCTAGGTTATGCTAGATTGCCAGGATGTAGGTAAAGCATGCAGAAAAAGAGAAGGAAAAGTTTTAATAAAACAGGTATGTTTTGGCTACTTGCCCAGGTTTTCCTGGCAGCAATTGGTGGTATGGAACTAAAACTATCTTCTCCATGACTTTTGGTGAAGAGGTAAGACCTAGAAATTGAGAGGATGGTATGTTCTATGAAATGATATCTCCTTACTAACTAAATAAAGCAGTACTCCTTCAGGCTTTAGTACTCACATAGAAAAAGAAATGCAGAAAATAAAGAAGCATACAGGCAGAGAAACAAAGATAAAAGAAAATATTAAGTATGTGAATTTGGACAATTCATTTAACCCCAGTTTCCTCATATTTAAAATTAAGTAAATATTTAAACTAGATAATCTCATAAAATTCCTATAGCTAGAAAACAGATTATATTCTGGAAAGTGAGGAGATTTTCTACAAATAACTCGAGAAAACAGAAAACTGTAAGTTACCAAACCAACTTAAGAGGAAATCTCTTACAAACCAAAAATAAAACAATATCTGGGTCTGAAATATTTAATTATTACAAAACCTCAACCCACTAATAACATCACAAGATTATGCCAATATATTGTTTTAAGTTAAGATAGTAATTTTTTTAAAACATAGGTATTTGTTAAAGAATAAAAATTAAAATTGCACCAGAAAAGAAACTCTCAATGGGGTTAGATTCGGTGGGTGGAAAGAGATGTCCCAAACTGAGAATGAGAGTTTCATGTGAAAAAAAGAGTGGAAGAATGTATGAATAAAAGAGAGGAATGACAGATCACCACCATAATTTAAGTTAGCTAAAAACACCACCTAAGAGTTCATATTCAAATCATGCTCTCTTATTCTTATTCCCTCCTTTTTTTATACAAACAAATAACTAGTGAGATGTAGTATTCTAATAAAATTAAGATTTTCATGTGATAGAGTTATTGTTCAAGTGGGTGACTAGACTATAACCAATCAAAGTTTAAAGATATAAAGTTTTCAGCATTTTCATCTTCCTATAAATCTTCTAATCTACTTCCCCAAGTGTTTAGCCTAACAAGAGGGTAAGGATTCAATAGATTTTTTTTAACCAATAATCTCAAAGCCGAAAAATAATCAAACTCAAATTTTATTTCAATGTATACAGCTATATGTGTGGGAAGTATACACAGAGGACTTTAGGGGTCCAAGAGTCAGTCTAAGACTTTGTATGAGCACTAAATTTCCACTGAAAAGTTGAAGAAAGGAAAAACAATACAAGAAAAAAAAGAAAGGCAGCACAGATGGAAAACTTGAGCCTGGACACTCCCAATGGCTCTGAACTTAAATAGCTATCTATGAAGCAATTTTTTTTATATTTATTAAAAATATAAGTCATTCTTCAGAATGTCATGGAAGGACTCCTGGTGCTACTTGCTACTTTCAGTCTACTCGGAAATACACTGACAATGTTACTGCTGGTGGAAGGTCAGCTTTCTGTTCTGAGAGTAATCATTAGATACTATAACAAGAAAATGTAAAAAATAGAGGGGAAAAAGATGGTTAGCCAAACATTTCAGAAAAGCTCAAAGAGGGGCCAATTTTTTTAAAAAATTGACAAAAAAAAAAATTGGGGCAACTTTTTTTTTCTCACTTTAAAGTGAGAAAGTTCAAAATTGTTTTAACCATCTCTCAGAGTAAGAAACTAGAACTCAAATACAATTGGCCTGATAATCATGAAGAAATCAAGACAAATAAGCTGTTTTCTTAAAAAGGTGCCCACTGTGCAAGAAACCAATTTTATTGGCATTCCGTAACCATTGGACTCAGTAACCATCAGCTAATAATAGTCTCATTGTCCATGTTTAAAAAAAAAAAAAGGAAAAAGAAACCTCCAGTCAAGATGACATAGTAGAAAATGCTAATCTCGCCTCTTCCCATGACGACATCAAAATTACAACCAAACTACAAAACAACCATCATTGAGAACTACCTGAAGACTAGCTGAACAGTCCTACAACTAAGATATGCAAAGGAAGCCACGTGAGACTGGTAAGAGGGGCAGAGATGTTGAAGAGGTTGTCCCATACCCACATGTTGCAGTTAAAAATCCAGGGGGAGATCTCAGTTGCGGATGTCCCCTCTGAAGAGCCAAGGATCCCAGCCCCACACCAGGCTCCTCAGCCCAGAGTTCCAGTGCCAGAAAGAGAAGTCCCCATAACTTCTGGCTATGAAAACCAGTGAGATTGTGGTTTGAGGGGATTGCGGCTCAGTGAGACAAGGGTTTGCTGGAGACCCAGGAATTCCTTTTAAAGGGCCCATACGCAAACTTACTCACTTATAAACTCACTCACTCTGAGCTCCAACACAGAGTCAGCAGCTTAAAAAGTGCCAGGAACATATGGGGAGAAACTGAATTCTCTGGCTTCAGGGCAAGGGTTGGAGAGGCAGCTTTCTTCCAAGAGAAGCACTGAAAGACAGCCCTGTATCTTTTTTGAGCCCTCCTCCACCCAGCTTGCACATGCAGATGGGTTCCAGATCTCAGTCTCCATCAACCTGGCTAATATCCCTCATCTCTCCATGGTGCTTCTCTGAGATCCTACCCCACTCAACATGCAGTCCTACCCAAGCTGCTTCCAGGGGCTTTTCTAAACAAATGGCCTGTCTTAGCTCATGCTTTGGACTTTCCAAAAATCTCTCAAATGTTCAAAAATCCCAAACAAGCAGTACATGTCCTAAGTGTACCCTAAATCTCTTGATAAGCAACCCCAAATCTGGAACTAGTGGCAGCTAGGGTTGGTTCACAATTTAGACTCTCCCAGGTATCTCCAAACCTAGCACAAACAGAAGCCATCAGCATATCACTTTGTAGCTCTTAACACGTGGCCCTGGGCAGGGCACAAGCAGAGGCCCTCACCAGAACCCCTCTCAAGGGGCCCCAGAACCAATATACCTGGGGGCCACTTTCAGACCACACCAGAGCACTAGGCACCACTCAAACATGGCCACAAACACACACCTAAAGGGTGTGCAAAGAAAGTACCAGAGTCCCACTAAAACAAACGTACTCTGTGGGGTCAGGCCCTGCACAACAACTCCTCCACTGTAGTCATGGCTAGTCTTCATAGCCAATCAACCTGAGGGTCAATACTTCCTACTAATGTTCCAACAACAATCAAAACCCAACTATAACAGGCATGCACACACAACTCACATAAGGTACAAACCAAGAGCACCAGCTGAGGTGACCAGGGAAACTGTGCCACTGGGCCCCACAGAATACTTACTATGTAAGGTCACTCTACCAAAACCAGGAAAGGTAACAGCTCTACATAAAACATAGAAACAAATCCAGGAAGGTGGCCAAAAGGAAGAGACAAACAAACATGTCCCAAATGAAAGAACAGAACAAATCTCCAGGCGGGGAGGGGAACTAAACTAAATTAAGACAAGTGATTTACCAGATAAAGAGTTTAAAACACTAGTTATAAAGATGCTCAATGAAATTAGGAGAAGAGTATATAAACTCAGTGAGAATTTTAACAAAAAGACAAAAAACATAAAATTGAAGTTAGAAAACATCGAAAAAAAAACCAGGTAGAAATAAAGAATATAATAACTGCATTGAAAGATGTATTAGAGGAAATCAACAGGATTGAATTAGCAATTTGGAAGACAAGGTGATGGAAAACATACAATCAGAACAACAACAGCAAAAGGAACCAAAAAATGAAGATAATTTAAGGGTCCTCTGGGATGATATACAGTGTGCCAACATATGCATCATAGGGGTACCAAGAGAAGAGAGAGAATAAGTGATGGTGAACCTACTTGAAGAAATAATGATGAAAAACTTTCCTACCTAGTAAAAAAATAGACATGCAAGTCCAGAAATCACAGAGTCCCAAATAAGATGAACCTAAAGAGGCCCACACCAAAAAGCATCATAATTAAAATGCCAAATTTAAAAACAAAGAGATACTCTTAAAAGTAGCAAGTGAAAAGCAGTTACCTACAAGGAAACTCTCAGAAGACTGTCAGCTGATTTCTCAACAAAAAAATATTGCAGGCCAGAAGGGATTGGTATGGAATATTCAGAGTGATGAAAAACAAGGACCTACAACCAAGAATACTCTACTTGGCAAAGGTATAATTTAAAAATAAAGGAGAGATAAAGAGCTTCCCACACAAGAAAAACTAAAGTTCATCATCACCACCAAACTAGTATTAGAAGAAATGTTAAAGAAACTTCTTGAAGAAGAAAAAATAGGTCAATATGAATAATAAAATGGCAGTAACTACATGACTATCAATAATTACTTTAATGTAAATGAATTAAATGCTCCAATCAAAAATATCATGTGGCTGAATAGATAAGAAAACACTACCCTTGCATATGCTGCCTACAAAAGACCCACTTCAGATGGAAAACCTCATACAGACTGAAAGTAAATTGATGGAAAGAAATATTTTATGAAAATAAAAATGAAACAGAAAAGGCTTGAGTAGTAATACTTATGCCAAAATAGACTTTAAAACAAGAGAAAAGGACAGCACTTCTACTTATGCACCTATATGTTTACTGCAGCATTATTTACAATAGCTAAAATATGCAAGCAACTTAAGTGTCCACCGATAAATTAGTACAAAAGCAGTGGTATATATATACAATGGAATGTTACTCAGCCATAAAAAAGAAATAACATCTTGTTGTTTGTGACAATGTGGATGAACCTAGAGAATGTTATAATGAGCGAAATAAGTCAGAGAATGATAAACATTATATGATTTCACTTATATGTGAAATCTAAAAAACAAAATAAATGAACAAATGAAATAGGAAAAAGAACTCATAGATCCAGAGAACATTTCGGTTGTTGCCAGATGAGAGTGGGTTTTGGGGGATGAGTGAAAAGGAGGAAGAGATTAAGATGTGCAAAATGCCAGTTATAAAAGCAATCATGGGGATTTAAAGTACAACATAAGGAATATAGTCAATAGTATTGTAATAACTATACATGGTGTCGGATGTGTACAAGACTTATTGGGGTGATCACTTTCTAAGTTTCATAAATACTTAATCATATGCTATAACTTGAAAATAATATAATATTGTATGTCAAATATTTTTTTTCAATTACAGTTGACATAGAATGTTATATTAGTTTCAGGTGTACAACATAGTGATGATTCATTTATATAATTTCTGAGTGATAAACCTGATAAATCTAGTACCCATCTGGCTCCATACATAGTTATTGCAACACTACTGACTATATTTCTCATGCTATACTGTACATCCCCATGACTATTTTGTAACTACCAATTTGTACCTCTTAATTCCCATCGCCACTTCACAATCCTCCCAATGTCCCATCTAGTAATTATCAAAATGCTCTCTGAATCTCTGAGCTTATTTCTGTTTTCTTTGTTCACTCATCATGTTCTCTAGATTCCAAATATAAAAAAAATTATATGACATTTGTCTTTCTTGTCTGACTTACTCCACTTATCACAATACCCTCTAAGTCCGTTCATATAGTTATAGATGTCAAGATTTCATTCTTTTTTATGTTTGAGCAATATTTCTTTGTATGTATGTCCCAACTCTTCTTTACCCATTTATTCTTTGATGGGTGCCAAGTTGCCTCCATATTTGGCTATTGCAAATACTGCAATAAAAATATGGATGCACATATCCTTTCAAAGAAGTGTTTTGGATTTATTCAGATAAATACCTAGAAGTGGAAGTGCTAGGTCTTTCCTTCTCTTTTGTTATATAGTCTGTTTAGTTTATTTTGTCAGGATTGGTACCTCAGATTATTTTTTCATTTCCATTTTCATGAAATATCTTTTTCCATCACTTGAATTTCAGTCTGTGTGTGTTTTTTGATCTGAAGTGAGTCTCCTATAGGCAGCATATGTAAGAACCTTGTTTTCTAGTCAATTCATCCACCTTATGTTTTGATTGAAGAATTTAATTCATTTATATTAAAGTGATTACTGATAGGCATGTAGTTATTGCCATTTCAATATTCATATTTTGTTCTGATTTTTTTTCCTTCTTCTTCAAGAATTTCCTTTAATATTTCTTTTAATACTGATTTGGTGGTGATGAACTTCTTTAGCTTCTTCTTGTCTAGGAAGCTTTTTATCTCTCCTTTGATTCTAAATGATAGCCTTGTCAGGTAGAGCAGTCTTAGTTGTAGGTACTTGCTTTTCATCGCTTTGAATATTTCATGCCAATTTCTTCTGGCCTGCAAAGATTTTGTTGAGAAATAAGCTGACAGTCTTAAGGGAGCTCCCTTATAAGTAACTAACTGCTTTTCACTTGCTGCTTTTAAGATTCTCTCTTTTTCTTTAAGCTTTGGCATTTTAATTATGATGTGTCTTGGTTGTGGTCCTTTTTGGGTTCATTTTGTTTGGGACTTTCTGTGCTTCCTGGGCTTGTATGTCTATTTTCTTCACCAGGTTAGAAAAGTTTTCTTTAAATCGGATTTCAATTCCTTGTTCTCTCTCCTCTTCTGGTACACCTATGATGCAAATGTTGGTACACTTGATGTTATCTCTGCTTTATCTAATCTACTGTTAATTCCCTCTAATGTTCTTCACTTCAGTTATTGTATTCTTCATTTCTACCTGGTTCTTTTTAATGTTTTCTCTTTCCATTTTTATGTTTCTAATTTCTTTGTTGAAGTTCTCACTGAAATCATTGAGCATCCTTATAATCAGTGTTTTGAACTCTGCATCTGAATAATTGCTTGCCTTCATTTTGTTTGTTTGTTTTTTACTGGAGCTTTGTTCTATTCTTTCATTTGGGGCATTTTTCTTTGTCTTCTCATTTTGGTTGTCTCCATGTGTTTTTATCCTATGTTTTAAGTGGAGCTTCTGTGTCTCCTGGTCTTAGTAGAGTGCCCTTATATAGTAGGTATGCTATGGGTCCCAGTGGCATAGTCTTTTCTGATCACCTGAGCCAGATGCTCCAGGTGTGTCCCTTATGTGGGTTGTATGTGTTCTATTATTGTAATTGAAGCTTGGTTTCTATTTGCACTTCAATTGGAGGGACTGACCCTTGAGCTGATTGGTTGTGAGGTCTAGCTAGTGTGGGGATGACCATACAGGGAAGGATTTACTTTAGCAGGTGTCTGTTCAGTCTGCCCTCTGTGTGTGTCATTCTTGGATGCAGCCGCGGGTGATGCTGAGTCCAAAGCTGGCCACTGGGCTTGCCAGCCCTGGGATCTCCTAGGAGGGGCCCCACTGCAGGCCAAGATCAGCTTCAGCCTGTGCCCTGCCCAAAAGTCACCAAGCAATACAAAAGTGGCCACCACCTGTGCTGGTCTTGGATGTGCCTTGAGAGGCCAAGCCTTGAACCAAAGCTAGCTGTCACTAGTACCAGGCTTGGTGCTGCTCAGCAAGAGGTATAGGACATATGAAGGTCAGATGCTGCTTGTTTCTGTTTTGCGAACCTTTGAGAGATCTAGACAAGTCTGCAGCATGGGCCAATACAGGTTGTTTGTATGGAAAAACCACTGGAAGCAGCTTGGGTAGGCCCACAGTTTGGTAGGACGAAGTCTTAGGGAATTTCCAGGGTAGGGCAACCAGTGTTGGCCAGGTTAATGGAAACTCAGATATGGTGCCCACCTGTGTCCATGTGCTTGGTGAGGGAGGGCTCAGGAAAGGAGCAATGGCTTCTGCCAACACTTCTATCTGGGAGAGAGCTGCCCCACCAACCCTCACTCTTAAGCCAGATAATTTGGTTCCTCCACGTACACCCCTAGGGCCTTTCAGGTTGCCCCAACACTATAACTCAGAGCAAGTGAGTCTGTCAGTAAGTAGGTCCATGTGTGGACCATTTAAGAAGAAACCCTGGGTCTCTAGCCGACCTCCATCACACTCAGCCACAATCTCTATTTTTTTTCACATTCGGAAGATGTGGGGACTTCTCTGTCTTGCACTGGATTTCTGGGCTGGGGAGCTTGGTGTGGGGCTCAACCCCTTTGCCCCTCAGAGGGAACCTCCAAAGCTAAGACATCCATCCAGATTTTTAAATGCCACACCTGATTGTGAGACTAGCCTATTCTGCTTCTCTGCCCCTCCTACCAGTCTCAAAGTGGCTTCTTCTGTATATCTTTATAGGACTTCTGTTCAGCCTGACTTCAGGAAATTCTCAATTATGGTTGTTTTATAGTTTAGTCGTAATTTTGATGTGGTCATGAGAGCTGGCAAGTACAGCATTTTCCTACTCCACCATCTTGACTGGAACTCAAAAACTAAAAATATACACATTTAAAAAGTACTGTTATCTAACTTCGCCTTATTCCCTTTCCTATATCATATTTTCTTCTATCATTTATTTTGGAATACCTTATTAGTTTAGTTTGACTGTTTTATGTAACTTAGTAATGAAAAAGAGGTTGCCAAATGCCTGAGTTAATTTGGACTATGATTCTACCATGGACTGTAGTTCTAGGATCCATGGTATCATCTTATCTGAATGCTAATACAAGATTTTTGTTGCTGTTGTTCTATTGATTTTTTTTTGTATATCGAATGCCATATGTATGGTAGTCACATTAACACCATTTAAAGTTCACATTAATTAAAAAGACAAGTATTGTGTTTTCAAATGTCATAGTTTATTTGCTTCTAGTGATATCTCAAAACTTCTGACCCACAAAAATTGTTAACAATTGCATAAAGTAAAAGGAAACTAAACTTACGCTATTCATTTCTGTCTTCACTTTAAATTCCATTTCTTTCATGTTTTTTATACTCAGAGTCTTTGCTCTAGAATTAAAGCAGATAGAAAATAAATGTCATTTCCTACTCACTACATTAACTATGAAGAAGTAAAAAGGATAAAGCAATTTATCTTAACAATGGGAACATATCTAAAATGGTTAAGATCCTATATCCTATTTGTTTATGAAACATTGGTAAATCTATATTTCTCTGGGATTTTCAGGAATAGAGGGTAACAACAGAAACACCCAAGTAGAGATTTTAAAATGCAATTTACCTCATCTAGGCTCCTAGCTACAATATATCCAAGCCACAAGAGGTGAACTGACAAAAGAAAAGTTATAAGAGAGGGAGCTATATGGTATATAGTATTTGAGAAAATCTTATTTTAGAAAGTAAAGAGGGAATCAGTGACAAGATAGAACAAGATGCTAAATCTATATAGATGTATTCTGTAAAAACTCTCTAAAGGTAAAACTTAAAAAATTTTTAAAGACTATATTGTTTAACAAAAAATGTCAGTGGAAGGATGAGAAGTGAGTAAAACCATTATCAGATAATTAACAATGGGAAAACAGAGAAAGAATTGGTCAAAATAGTGGAATGGTTCAGAGATGGTCAGTAAAATGACAAAAAATGTGTTCTTCAGCAAATTATCTATCAACAAAGTATATAGTTAGATTAATATGACTTCTGAAAAATTAAATTTGCTGAATTTAATTTTCCAAATGATTATATTGTTTTATGTTTTGTGTCTCATTGCATATTACATCTCTTCAGTTAATTAAAAATACCTCTGTGGACTCATGGGCATGAACTATAGGCTAGTTACCAGAGTACTGTAGACTAGTGGTTACTAGTGGGGTGGGGAAAGAGGAGGGAGGTAGACAGGGTAAAGGGAGTCAAATATAGGGTTTAAAGGGAGAGTGTAGTGGATAAAAGGGATCAAATATATGGTAGCTGAAGGAAACTGGACACTGGGTGGTAAACACATAATAGAATATACAGATGCCAAATGATTATGTACACCTGAAAATTATATAATTGTATTAACCAATGTTACCCCAATAAACAATAAAAAAATTTAAAAAATACCTCTGTGATGCAGTGTATGAAAATGGGGTTAATTTATTTACTTCAATAGATTTTGTGTATTCTATTTTATAGTGCTGACAAAATATTTTTCTTCATTAAGACCAACATTATATATATATATAATGTTTTATCTACATTATATATATAATGTAGATAAAAATCTTTTCTTTTTGTCTCCAATTTTCTGATGCCAAATAAAAAATAAAATTGTAGTACTATACATTCCACAAAAATAAAAGTAACTGACAACACTATATGCTTTGCCGCTGTGTCAGAATAAACAAAGTATCTTACTTTGGGAAGCGACCAATCACAATAGCTGTGGTACAGACAACACCAAACAGCAGTCCCACATTGGCAGCAAAACATATTGTAAATACATATGTACTGACCCATATGCCCTGAAAGAGAAACAACAACAACAAACAAAACAAAATAGAAAATGTGAGTCCTTTGGTATTTTTGTCTTTCTCATGATTCCTAAATTCATCACAATTTTATTCTATACATTTCTGTGACCAAATCTCTCAAAAATATATTATTAATGAAATAATTAACAGAAGTCCAGGAACACAGAAACAAATCCTGGCCTCCTCAGATTCTCAGTAGTGGATGCGGAGAAAAGTAACATTTTATTTCTAGACACTGCCAACACTTAGTTCAATCCCAAACTATCACCTTATTTAAGATGTGTAAATAGCTGGTTCACTTGTATTGTTCAAAATATGCCATAATTTCCCACTGTTTTCTCATTTAATGTAATAATATTATAAGCAATTGTTTGCAAATTTTTGTTTATTCCTGATAATATTCTATTTTCTAGGATTGCTATAAAAAGAACTAACATAGTTTATAACACATAAGACTCAAAGCCTAATGTTCAAACAACTGAATCTAACAACATGATCAAAGCCACTTTTAGATAAGTCATTATAAAGATGATGATGGTAATGACGATGATGATAATTTTGGTAAGGGGCCACTTCTCGTGAAATTGTGAAAGCTAAAAAATCAGGGCTAACTTAGTTCTTGGGAACATTTCAAAATATTGCAATAAAATTCTATTTTCATTAAGTGGGAATTCCAAAATTATTATAGTTTTGCTGACCACTTGAAATTGCAATTTGCAACAAGATATTGCATTAACAGTGGCATTTCTGTTTATTGTTGGCAAAAAAATATTTTAAAAGTAAAATAATTTCTGAAATCCAAAAGGATATATTTTCTAAACACAAAATTCTGCATTTATCAAATAGTAAACCAACAAAATCTTTAAATTCTCTCTTTCCTCAAAATTATCTTCATCACTTTACTTAGGCATACAATTTTAAGTCAATATCTTTCTGTCCGGATAGGTATATTATCACTTAAAGATATTTTCAACAACATAATTCAATCCCTACACAAATGAAAGAATTAGAAACTTCTATATAATCTGAAAATAGCACAGATTCGTGTGTGTGTGTGTGTGTGTGTGTGTGTGTGTTGGGGCATGGGTTATAACAAATGTTTCCAAAGGGTCTTTTGTATTATTTATCTACACTGAGCTTAACGATGGGCTTTTTTTTTTTTTCCAAAAAACTAAGCCCTTGGAAGCAAATGGAGGGCTTTTTATCCATAAAATTCCTTTTGATATAGAAGAAACAAACATTCTAGAGTAAAAGGGAAAATATAGTTAGTTTAAGTGTTCTCATGTTAAGATCCATCACCTACAAATATAATGCTAGGTTGGCACTTACTACATCATCGTCAATCTGTCATGCGGTTGTCTATTCAAGTGCATAGACAGTCATTTGAATCTTCTATTTGTATACAGTATGTTTTTCCTTCCTAATGTATTACTTACATTACTTAATTATACACAAAACAAGCTTGCAAGTTTTTGATCATTGCTTCAACTTGCCATAATTGCTCTGCTTCTCACTGAATATTTATTGCTGACTTAACCTGCCTCAGTGTGACAGAATAAACCTCACCAAAAGCTTTCTAAGTCCAATTTCATCTAACCAACATGCATAATTTAATACAGCATAGGAAACTGAGGTTCCTGGTCCCTGTCATTCTAAAAACCACAGAGCCTGGAGGCCATTATTTTTCAGAGTAACTCAAAATTTTTATAACATTTGGTTCTATTTTTAAAGCATATTTACTCTCCTACAACATCATCTATTGTAAACCAGAGTTATAATGTTTAATTATTTCCTGGGGCTACATTTATAGCTTTGGAAAAATATCAAATGGGAATTAATAACATAGACCAGTGTTGGGTTAGAACAAATCTCAACACTATTCTGTAACAATTTCTATTAGAGATCCAAATGCTGGTTGTCACAGTTATAAGAAATTGGTTAGCTCCTTGGCCCCTAATTTTTTTATTATGTGTTCCCACTTGATCCTTTCCTTATTTTTTACTCACAGCTCCTAAAAACAGGCTAACTCCAAAGTTGATCTCGAGTAGGGAACACATAAACTCTTGTTCATTACAGAAAATGTATCAATGTAAAGAACAATTTAGCAGTTACTCAATTACTTTGCCTCTGCTAGCCTATCTGTTTTGGTGATTGATCCATATTATTAAATTTCTGTAGGTCTGAATTCCATCCCACTGTTTAGTTGCTCAAATTCAGGCCCATGAGTCAGGCCTCTATTTTGGATCCTTATTTTTTCGTGATCTCAACAGGGTTTTGATCTACAGCTCAAACTAAAATTGTTATCAAACTATAGAAATTTTAAAGAAATAGACCACATCAAAATTACAACTAAACTACAGAATTACCATCATCTTTGGGGGGGGTGGTTATCCCTCAAAAAGAGCCAGGGACATATGGGGGAAAACTGAATTGTTTGGCTTCAGGGCGAGGGCTGGAGGAGCAGCTTCCTTACAGAAAGAAGTTCTGGCAAAGGGCATTGTTCCTTTGTTAAGTCCTCCCCTGCTCAACTTGTAGACCCAGGAGGGTGCCATATCTGGATGCCACAGCTGAACAGAAGTCTTACAACTGAAGTCACACAGAACAGGCCACCTTGAGGCTGGTAGGAAGAGCAAGACGCAAAATGCATGTGACAGTTGAGAATCAGAAGAAATATTTTGGCTGTGGAGGTCCTTCTTGAAGAGCAAGGGGTTTCAGCCCCAAACCAGGCTCCCCAACCAAGAGTTCCACGCTGGGAAGAGAAGTCCCATTTCTGGCTGTGAAAACTGGCAGAATTTGTGGCAGAGTGAGACAGAAGGCTGAGGGAGTCACAGACACTCCTCTTAAAAGGCCCACATGTGGATTTACTCAGTGACAAACTCATTAGCTCTGAGCTCCAGTTCTGGGGTAGCCACTCAGAAAGAGCCAGAGACATATGGGGAAAAACTGAATTGTTTTGCTTCAGGGCAAGGGATGGAGGGACAGTTTTCTCCCAGAAAGAAGTTCTGGCAAAGGACATTTTTCCTGTGTTAAGCTCTCCCCTGCTCGACTTGCAGACCCAGGAGGGTGTCATATCTGATTCTCTATCAACCTGGCTAACACTGGTCACCCTGCCCTGGTGATTCCTTGAGACTCCACCCCTCCCAACATGTGGGCCTACCTAAACTGCTTCCAGTGGATTTTCCATATACATGGCCTGTCTAGGCTCATGCTGTGGACTTTCTTAGAATCTCTCAAAGGTTCACGAAACCTAAATAAGCAAGATCTGGTCTCAGTATGCCCTGTACCTCTTGCCGAGCAGCTCCAAGCCTGGGACTAGTGGCAGTTAGTCTCTGTTTGTGGCTTGGCCTCTCCAGGTGTATCCAAGCACAGTGTGGATGGCAGCCATCTGTGGATTGCTTGGTGGCTCTTGCCAGGAGGCATTAGGCAGGGCAAAGTCTGCAGCTAAACGTGGCCTATGGCAAGGCCCTTCCCAGGAAGCTCTGGCCTGCACACCCAATAGCTGGCTTTGGTCTGAGTTGGAGTACCAAACTTGGGATCACATCTGAGGACAACACAGCTAAAACGTAGAAAGGGCAGGCACCAGAACCCTGTTAAAGCAAATCCAGCTCTGTAGGGTCAGCCCTTGCAAAACAGCTCCTCTATTGATCATGGCCAGTCATCACAACCAATCAGCTTGAGGGTCAATCCCTCCCACTGATGGGCAAACAGCAGCCAAGGCTCAACTACAAAGGAGGACACACACTACTCACAAAAAGGACACACCTGGAAAACCCAGCTCAGGTGACCAGGAAAGACTGTGCCACTGGGACCCATAATATACTTACTATATAAGGCCACTCTACCAAGACTGAAGACATAGCAGCCCTACTTAATACATAGAACATTATATATATATATATATATATGAGTACTATATATATATAGTACTCGGACATTAGAAAAATGAATCTTGCCATCTGTAGCAACATGGATGGACAGAGAGGGTATTGTGCTGAGTGGAGTAAGTCAGATGGAGAAAGACAAATGCCATATGTGGAATCTAAAAAGCAGGATAAACAAACAAACAACAAAAACAAGCTCATAGTTAGAGAGAACATTTTAATAGTTGTCCAACTGGAAGTGGGAGGATGGGTGAAGGGGGAAGGGGAATAGAGATACCAATGAGTAGTTACAAAATAGCCATGGGGATATAGAATATAGCAGGGGGTCCCTCCCACCCTGGGCCGCAGACCAGTACTGGTCTGTAGCCTGTTAGGAACCCAGCTACACAGCAGGAGATGAGCAGAGGTGAGCAAAGCTTTATCTGTATTTGTAGTTGTTCCCCAGTGATAGCATCACCACCTCAGCTCCACCTCAGATCAACAGGCATTAGATTCTCACAGGAGCACTGGTCTCTCATGCCAAAAAAATTGGGGACTGTTGGAGTATAGCATGGTGAATACAGTCATAATAACTAATATGGTGTCAGATCGGAACTGGGTTTATCAGGATGATCACTTTATAAGTTATATACATGTGTAATCACTGTGTTGTACACCTGAAACTAATATAATATTTTATGTTAGTTATAATTGAAAAAATAAATATATAAAAATTTTTAAAGAAGTATAAATTTCTGATTTTTCATGTGATGACTGCTTCCATGATTTTTTAAACTTTATATTTTCATATTTTTACACACACCCATATTTGGTAACTTTACTTACAGATTTAGGTTTATTCTATTTAATGAGTAATCTGAACTTATTCTACCTACTGAGTAATACAGCTTTCATCCACAAAAGTCTACATAATATTTTCACTATAAATTCTATGCCTAAATCAGTTTCTTAGCAACAAAGAAATAACTGGCCACTTCAACCATAGGAGGCCATTGTTTAGCTAAACTCAGTCACATTTAACCATAATATATCTGTTATATCCATGTCATCTTTCTCAATCCTATTTTTTGCCCACACTGTATTGCCTACTAACTCCAACTTTTCAACTAC